TCTCTCTCTCTGTCTCCCTCTCTCCCCCTCTCCCTCTCTCAATCTTTCTGTCATTCTGCCTTTCAAATAAATCTCTTTTTTAAAAAAAAAAGTCTTTCATAGAAAAAATATAAATTTTACTGGCGGGCCTGGCGCTATGGCTCATTTGGTTAATCCTCTGGCTGCAGTGCCGGATCCCATATGAGCGCTGGGTTCTAGTCCTGGTTGCTCCTCTTCCAGTCCAGCTCTCTGGTGTGGCCCGGGAGGGCAGTGGAGGATGGCCCAAGTGCTTGGGGGCCTGCACCCGCATGGGAGACCAGGACGAAGCACCTGGCTCCTGGCTTCAGATCGGTGTAGTTCCAGCTGTAGCAGCCATTTGGGGGGTGAACCAACGGAAGGAAGACCTTTCTGTCTCTCTCTCACTGTCTAACTCTGTCAAATAAATTTAAAAAATTTTAAAAAATTTTACTGAAATACATTTTAGAAGTTCTGAATAAAGTGAAAGTGAAATGTTGTCAATTTGTCAGCTCGTCCCAAATGAATCTACAAATTCAATGCAACCACAATAAAATTTTGAATTTTACTCAGAACTTGACCAAATAATTCTAAAATTCCAAGGCAGTGCAATATTGGTGAAGTTTTAGAACAACAGAATATGTTCAATGTAATATTTCAAATCAATGGGAAAACAGTAACTCAGTAAATGACATTAGCACAATTGGTTAAACACTTAGGAAATATTCAATTAAATTTCTATCTAAACCCATTTATTAAAATACAAGAGAATCAAGGGCTACAGACAAAGTTCCAACAATAAAAACATGAGAAAATTATAATGTATTGATAATTTTGGGAGATTTTAATTTCTTGAGGCTGCCATAACAAATTACCACAAACTTGGTGGTTTACAACAACAGAAATTTATTCTCTCTCAGTCTGAAGGTCCATCTTCTAAAATCAGAATGTCTGTAGGACTGATTCCTACCGAGGCTCTGTGGGGAGAGTCTGGTGCATGCCTCTCTCCTAGCCTTGGGTGGCTGCTGGCAATTCTTGGAGTTCCTTGGCTTCTAAATGTATCCTTCTCCTCTCTGCTTTATCTCTGTGTGTCTTCTCAAAAAAACACTTGTGATTAAGTTAGAGAGACAGTAGGAAAATCCTACTGGACCTCATCTGATCCAGATTCTTCATTAAATCTGCATAGAATTGTTCCAAATACGGTCACATGTACAGATTCCAGGTGGCCATTGTTTTTGGGAGAAACAAGTTTCAATCCACTACAAAGGCTTTCTTAATTAAGACAAAAGGGAGAAGATTCATAAATTTGACTTCATTAAAAACAAAAGCTACATTTAAAAACAGCATGTTAATTAGAAAAATTAAAGGAAAACATGAATGGTATCTCTCTTACATTTATTTTAGAAAAAAGTTAAAATCCAGAATATATAATTTTCAAAATTCCTGCAACTCAAAAAGAAAAAGAATAATGACTCAATAAATTACTAAATATATGAAGTCATTAATCAGAAGAGCAAATAAGATAAATGAAATAAACACAGTATAAATACACATAAATTAAAAACATTAAAAGATATTCAATGACATTAGTATTCAAGGAAATGAAAATTAAAACATACCACTTTGTACTCATCATATTAGTCAAAGCTAAAATTTAATAATATTTAGTACTGGTAAGGATAACAGGAAATGGGAGCTTCAATATACTGCTGATTGGCACAGATAATTTCAATGCCTTTTTTTCTATATCAAAATTTTAAATTCCTGTTTCCAAGACACCTGTATACATTCACAAGATGACATGCTTATGTGTTTTCTGAAGTACTATTTCCAAGAATTCTAACCTGGAAACAAAGTAAATGTTCATCAACAGAGTAATGCTTACTTAAACATGAGACAGAACCTCATAATGCCCACACAATGCTGTATTATGGAGGTCTATGCAATAACAGGACTAGCTATGCATGGCATGCTTTGGGGTAAATAAAGTAATCTGCAAAATGTAGCTACAGAAAATACTGCATAGTTTTAGATATTATATATATATTATATATGAATATATTAAATACACACACACAATCTAGAAGTATACAAACCAATCCAATAAAAGTGGGTACTTTGGGGCAGGGGGGTAGAGGGGACTGTGATGGGAGGTAATAGACATAAGTAACTTTAACTTTTCTGTAGTATTTTAACTTTTTTTGTGAAGAATGTATTCATACGGGGTCAGCATTGTGGCACAGCAGATTAAGCCAATGCTTCCGAAACTGGCATCCCATATCAGCCAGGTGGAGTCAGGATTGCTTAGCCTTCAATCCAGCTCCCTGTTAACACCCCTGGGAAAGCTGCAGAAGATGGCTCAAGTATTGGGCCCCTGCCACCCGTTTGAAAGACCAGGATGGAGTCCTAGGCTCCTGGCTTTGATCTGGCCCAGCCCTGGGCATTGCAGCCTTTTAGATAGTAAACCAGCAGATGGAAGATTTTCTCTCTTATTCTTTCCCTCTCTCTCTCCCTCTCTCTCTCTCTGACTTTCAAGTAAATAAAGAAATCTTTTTTAGTGTTCATAGATTATTTATATTATTCCTAAAAATAATTTTTAAATGAGTGGGAAGTAGTGAAAAGGAGAAAGTGTATATGCTATTTTTTCAAGAAGTGTAATAATGAAATAATTATTACTATTAATAAGAATATTTAAGCAAACTGTAGGATATCTAATAAAATGAATATTAATGCAGAATATATAAAATGGAAAATCTTTGTGGAATTTTTACAACTTTGGATTTTTAAAAATTAATATGATTAAAACTTCTAAGTAATATAAGAAAGTAACAAAATTTTCCCAGGAACTTGGAAATAAAATTTTGAGAATTAAACTTAAATGTATAATGAATTAGATAGGAAAATCACCTTTGTGAAACATAATGCCTTCCAGAGTGACAAGACCTGACTGTAACTTGGATGACAATGTTGACATATCTAACGAAAGAATGCATCCATGAGCCAAAGAAGCATAGATAGGGAGAGTCAATGAAGCCAATGTGGACAGAGCAGACTTGTCTCTTACCTCATTTTGTATGCCTTAGTTTCTCCATGCCAAAAATGGGGTTAATAAGAGCATTGCATTATTATATAAAATACAAGAGCATCTGCTACCTAGTGAGGCTTATGTGTTATTAAAGAGAAGGAATGTAGTGGCTAGGCCAATATAAACCATGTCCCCATTCTTTCTATTTTTCATTATTGAGCAGCACCCTGCTTTTCATACACCAGGCTGTTGTGAGGGTATCAGCATGAGTCAGCCTCCTGAGCCTGTCCGGTTTTGAAACACGGAGCTGATCAAGTTTCTGAGACTGCCAGACTGAGGCCTAGACTGGACAGAGGTTGAAAGCACCAAGGTAATGCCATTAAGCAAGGCCTCTTGGTAGCCAGCCAGCTATATTTCTTAATGACATGCCACCCTGGCATACCTAATCTGGTCATACTTTTAACAACGTGGAGTGGCCAGAGGGGATAGGTATATGTAGAAGGAATGAAAAGGCTAGGAAAAAAAAATAAACTAAAATACTAACAGGTAGTTGTGTACAAGTATTATGGGGTGATTTAATATTGTCTTTGTTTTACTTGCCTATACTTTCCAAGTTTTCCTTAGTGGGTGTGCAGTACTTTAAGGTTTTGTAAACATGTCTAACTGAAGTTGAGGTGGTGAAAATCAAGAGGGACAAGGACAGAGAAGAGGCTTCTGAGGCTTGAGGCTGAGGGAAACCTGTCAGAGAGTTAGAGGCAGAGCAGAGATGACTAAGTGCACTTTCCTAATGAGAAGCTTGCTTTCCCCAGAAAGACTGTTTCTACCCCCTGTGCACCTAGGCTTTGAAGTGACTCACTTGCCTGTCATTTCATTGCCCTAGCTAATGACTGCAATGGAAAATATTTCTTTGAGAATTTTAAGTGTATCACTGTGTCTAACTCTACCACAGGCACTTGTTGAACCTGAACTCCCCAGATCTGAGTTCTTTTGTTGATGTTGTTTTAACTTTTATTGATATAAAGAGAACACATTTCATGTATTTCATAGGTATAGTTCTAAGAAGATATCTCTGTACTGAATTGGGTACAGGGAGTTTGTATGAGGAGAAACAAATTTTAGAGAAATAAAAATAGAAATGAAAATGCAAAATCACTGTGGCCCGGGTGAAGTGGCTAGGGAAGGCTTAGAATGTGAAAGGTCAACGGATCTAATTTTCTTACCCTTCGATTCAGGGAGCAGGTGGTGCTTAAGCTGAACCTTGAGAAGCCTGGACGGTTTGGATAAGCAGAGAGCAAGTCATGGGCAGTGGGGACAGCAGATGGAGAGAGCAAAGGCACTGGGGCCAAAGTGGCCCCGCGGACTGTAGATTGACTCTCCTGAAGCCAGCCAGCATTATCTGCAGGATACTTTTCCAGCCACCCTTTATTTTCAGCTGTGTCTTTGTTGCCTCAGTCTTGTGACCTCGGTGCGCAAGAGGAAGCCATCCAAAACAGTTACATGATCTGCTCCAGCTCCAGTGCTGGCGCGGCTCGCTCCCAGCCCAGTCCCCCTCCCGGACTCGCGCCGCTTTAGAGCGCACCACTGCCTCCTCCTTCCCTAGCCCGCTCACTCGCCAGTTTCTAAGCAACAAAGTGCCCTAGGAAGTTCTTTCTTGTTTGGTTTGGGGCGGGGTGGGGCGTGTTTAATCTGGGCTTCTAGTTCAAATCTAAAATCCGATCAAGACGCGGAAATCCAACTCTTTAGATCTCGAACGCAAACGAGATTTTTCTTTCACTTTTCAAGTGACCGTCGGTTCCTAAAACTAGTCCCGTAGTAGAAAGCAGCAGCACCCTCCTCAACATTTTGTAAGCCCAGCATGTGTGGAAAACTGAAATAATCATTTGCAGGGCTTCGAAAATAAACCTTGCCTACGGTGACAAATTCCCCGGGTGGCCGAGCCCCTAGGGCGCAGCGCGCAGCTGCCAGGACCCGCCGCGCCCGCCCCGCCTCTCGCCCGCCCGCTCGCAAGCGTCCCCTGCAAGGTGGAGGCGGCGCCGCAGCGAGGGAGCTGTTGTGGGCCGCCAGGCGGGAGTCTCTGGGCCGCCGCTGTCTCCGCCAGGAGAGCGGAAGATGCAGGAGCCACGCTTGGACGCCGGCCGGCACTAAGGGGAGCAGCGGGCAGCGGCTACGGAAGCGTTGCGGTGAGGCCCTAAACAGACCGAAGCTCCAGGCAGCTCTGGCGCGTGGTGGACTCCGGAGGCCGCCGGAGCCGAGAGCACCAGGCGAGACCCGCTGGCCCCAGGCCCTAGAGGTCGGGGGCTCTGGCGGGCCTGGCACTTGGGCTGCCCACAGCGAAAGTGCAGCTGCTGTGAAGCTGCCTTTCTTTGGGGCTGAAGCCCCGTGCAACACGTGGGTCATTTCTTTGAAACCATTAGAAACGTGCGGCAATGAGGAGCCGGAGTAACTCCGGGGTCCGACTGGACAGCTACGCTCGACTGGTGCAACAGACCATCCTGTGCCATCAGGTAAGTGTGGGGTGTCACCTGTTATCACCCAGGATGTGGAGTGTGATAGCCTGGACACAGACCCTGAGTGAACCTGTGTGTGTGAAGGGGTGACAAGTATTCCTGCCCCCTAGCTTGGGGAGGCCATAAAGGACCCCGAAAGGGAAAAAGAGGTTGATGTTGAGCCTGGAGCAGAACCAGAGTCTGGCACGGATAGACACAAGCCCCCTGGGTCACAGCTTTGCAGCACCCCTCACCAGCAGCACCAGTAGCAGCAGCAGCAGCAGCCACAGATGGGCTCCAAGGGCAGACTTGCAAGATCTGTTGAGGCTTGTTCATTGACTTCCCCCTGACTCCCAGGTTTGTGTGTTATCTTGCCCTTCTCCCAGAGAAAAGACATAGGGAACTTTAAGCTCTCTTAAGCTAGACCATTGTGAAGGTCGAAGGCACTCTGTATGGTTAATTATGTCTCCTACACCTTTATTGCTGGTTTTATCATTGGTGGGTCAGTCTATACAGATAATTATATGTTTCCTACACCTTTATGGCTGGTTTTTTCATTGGTAGGTCAGTCTTTGTAACTGAAAAGTTAAAGCTGTTTTTAGATAAAACTTTTAATGATGCTTTTCTCTTAACAATAAGCCTGAATAATCTCTTTTAAAAATGATACACACATTTCAGATTTGTAAGGCTTCAGCCAGCTCTTTTCCCTTACTTAAGATAATACTGGCGAAAGGTACAAACTTTCTGTTCTAAGAATATGTTTTGAGGATCTAATGTAAACCAGCATTGGGACTATAGTTAATAACACTTACTTGTATAAAATTGAAATTTGCTAAGAGAATAGATGGCAGGTATTCTCACCATCAAAAAAGGGAACTAAGTGAGGTGACGGATGAATGAATTAACCGGATGATGGTAATCATTTCACAATGAACACAACCAATGGCAAACCATCACATTATACATTTAAAGTACACACAATTTTTGATTGTCAATCATACCTCAGTTGAAAAAGACAGCATTTGCCTGCAGTTGATCAGAAGAGAAGGTTAGGGGGAATTAGAGGAAAGACCAGAGTCCCAAAGTAACCCATTTGGTAGATTCTGTTTGCTAATATTAAGAACCTGTGGTTACCTGGCTATCCTTTTTCTCCACCTTGCAGAATCCAGTGACCGGCTTGCTTCCAGCTAGCTATGATCAGAAAGACGCATGGGTCCGAGATAATGTGTACAGCATCCTGGCTGTGTGGGGTTTGGGCCTGGCCTATCGGAAGAATGCAGACCGGGATGAGGATAAAGCAAAGGCCTACGAACTGGAGCAGGTATTCAGAGTAAAAACTTTAGGAGATTCAGAGCTATGTGAGGTTGCTGGGGAAAGGGGAGCAAAGACTGAATGTAGCCGGCAGGAGCTAAGAGAACTGTATTTTGCCTGTCCTCTTTTTTCTTCACCGTCCTGGAATTACATTGCAAAAGGTTTTCTTGAATTGTTCTGAAGTGGTCTTTTGTTTGTTTGTTTGTTTGTTTTTTTGCAGTAGAAACTTGAAACTTGCTGATTCAGGGAAGGGGGCACAGTCTGTTCCATTACAGCGGAAAATCCCATCCTGAGATCTTTCCTAAAATGTATAATCCTCTTTCTACGTAAATGTATTTTGCAGCCTCTATCATATTTATTCTCGTTGACAAGAATGTTTGGGGGCAGATATCTACTACTTTGCTTCATTTTTGAAAATGATTGGTGGCATGGGGGTACTTCAGAAAATGTGTGGAAATAGTTCAAAGATAAACTTATTTTGGTACAAAAATATTTAAAATCCATATGTAGTTTTTTTATTTTTTTTTATTTTTGACAGGCAGAGTGGACAGTAAGAGAGAGAGACAGAGAGAAAGGTCTTCCTTTGCCATTGGTTGCCCCTCCAATGGCCGCTGCGGCCGGCGTACCGCGCCTATCCGAAGGCAGGAGCCAGGTGCTTCTCCTGGTCTCCCATGGAGTGCAGGGCCCAAGGACTTGGGCCATCCTCCACTGCACTCCCTGGCCACAGCAGAGAGCTGGCCTGGAAGAGGAGCAACTGGGACAGAATCCTGCGCCCCGACCAGGACTAGAACCCGGTGTGCCGGCGCCGCAAGGCAGAGGATTAGCCTAGTAAGCCACAGCGCCGGCCTTGTAGTTTTTTCATAATACATTTGCCATGTACTTTTTCAAAGACTTCCCATATTTGTATGAGGGCAACACACAAATAACAGACCTTTCAGACTAGACACCAGGCAGGTTATTTGTTGATTTTTATAGCTATGGCCACTGTTTCAGACCCTATTGCTCCCCTGCTTCCTCCCCACGTGTAAAATGAGGTCAGAATCAGCAGATGCTTTAAAGCCAACTTTCAAGGCACTTCTCATAAACTAGCATCCTTCATAAAACTGTTCTGACACTCAGGGAGCAGTATCTTCTTGAATGACCCAGAAAACAAGTTATTCTAAGTTATATGAGACTTTAATAATTTTTAATGTACTTGAGAGGCAGAGAAATAGAGCGTGAGAAAGAGAATAGACAGAGTTCCCATCCACCGGTTCATTCCTCCAGTGTCTTCCATGGCCAGGGCTGGGCCAGGCAGAATCTGGGAGCTAGGAATTCAGTCCATGTCCCCTACTGTGGATGGCAGGAACCCAACTACTTGAGCATTGGCAGGTCTGCATTAACAAGAAGCTAGAATCAGGCATGGAGCCAGGACTGAAACTCAGGGCTTCCAGTAGGCGATGCAGGTGTCCCAGCTGGCATTTTAACTGCTAGGCCAAATGCCCACCCACTATATGGGACTTTTAATGTAGAAATACTATGCTGTTAGTTGTAAGATATATATGAATTCTTATCCAGGAGTGGAAAAGATTCTTTCTACACCAGTCGTTTTCTCTACTAATCATCCTCAGACTTAGGCAAAATGAGTTCCAGTCTAAATTTATAAGTCAGAATACTGAGCTTTGGTTATTACTAAAAGTACCAGCATATTACAGAGTTGCAGTTCTTAGCAATAGGAAAACTGCACTGTGCTATCTTCAGCAACAGTAGGCACTTGTTATTTTTTCAGGCATTATTGTGAGGTGCATACATCTGCCAAAAGAAATTATTGGAGTCTTTGCTGTAGCCCAGGATGTACAGATCAAATGCTGTTATCTGTACAGGTCTTTTATACAAATAATACCATTGTAGAAATTTTGAAAATATAGAGAAGTACTAAAAGTGAACTGTAATCCTGCTCCTCCCGAAATCCTACTTCCTGGTTTTAGTGTTTTGATATTTTGATCTCAATATTTTATGTTTTTGCTAGAAATTAATATCAGTAAAGCTGGAATTACATATCTAGTACAATTTGACCAATTTTTCAAATACTATTAGAAAAGTATTTTGTCTCCCTATTGACCAGTCATTCTACAAAGAGGTTTTATTATTTGATCACATTAATTTTTTTCTCAAACTTGGTTCAGGATTAATCTAGACCAAGAATCCAAAAATCATCTCTGTAAAGGGCCAGTTAGTATTTTCAGCATTGAAGTCTCTGCCCAGCTATTCAACACTGTAGTCGTGCAAAAGCAGCCAGAAATAATATATAAACAATGAGTATGGTTATGCTCTAATGAAACTTTATTGACAGTAACCACCAACAGTGGGTTAGACTTGTCCCTGATCTAGATGAATGATTCTAAACTCTGAATATACATTGGAATCACTTGGGAAACTTTTAAGACATACCTTTATCCTGTCTTAGAACAATTTTAAGAATCCCTGGACATCAATATAAAAAAAAGATTCTAATGTACCCCCAGGGTTAATAATGACTGATATATGGTCAGTATGTGAACATAGATTAAATCTAATAAATCCATAATTAAATTGTCAGCTACTGTCAACTTTCCATTATTGTGTGGATTTTCCCAAAACATTGATTGTTAATCCTGTCTACCTTTTCTTCAAATTCTCACTTTGGTTTCTTTCTGAGAAATAACATCAGAGAACTGAAGAGAATTCTGGATGTAAAAGAGATGAGGACTTAGGCAGCTACCATATCCTAGACTGAGAACAGAATTATTCACGTGCATGTTTTTACAAATGCCCCTTTCTCTTAGACACAGGATACCGTCTGAAACCCATAAACAATAAATAAGCACACAAGCAGGTATCACTCTGGCTGCCTTAAGTTCTACTTCTTCCTCCGTTTTGTTTTGTTTGTGCAGTCTCTCGTCTTTTCTCTTGAATTTAATTACCTTTATAAGAAGGACTTTGAAATCTTCCAAAATAAAGCTCTGACCTCACTTTAATTTCATACCCTCGTATCATGGTCTGCGCATCAGTTTTATCTGCATACCTGTGTCTGCTCAAACTCAGTGTGCCTGAAATCCCATCTTCCCAACAACATCAAAAATAAATAAATAAATAAATTCCCAAACAACAATTCACCAAGTAACCCTTTATTGGTGTCCTCATTCTACCAGTCACCCAGGCAACATTACTTGGAGTGTTTCCCATATTGTGTTCTGTGGAACATGAGGCCAAATAAGTTTGGGGCTATGTTAAACTGCATATTTCTTTAATTGATGCTTTCTCAGAACTTTTGGTATACTAATATACATTTTGAATAGAAGATGGATTGAATTTTCAGCTTTTCTAAGTGCATTCATTACTTCTGGAACAGTCCTTTAATAAAAACACTTAACATCTTTGTAAATAGCTTTCATTGTACAAACACTTCCCAGTAATTGCCAGTATTTTATTCTCACAATGCTATGTGAATTAACTATTACTCTTCCCAGTTTACAAGTGAAGGGAACAAAGGGCAGGAGATGAAGCTGGAATTTGGTGGTGTGCATACAACATGGATGTTAGGACTTTTAGATGCAGTCCTGTTTGCATTTTTTCCTCCAAATGAAGCCATAGACATTGTTACCTCCAAGTCTTTACAGGTTGTGTCTTCTCCAAACCTATTCAAATATCCAAATATCCTATTTTGAAATCCCAGCACCAATCCCACTTTATTGATGGTCCCTGTCCTTACAGACCACTCGATTGTACAGTCATCACTTCTTTCTCAGGACTCCTCTCTTTGAATTTCTAGGTCACTTATTGTCTGTACCACTCAACATGTTCTTTTTTTTTTATTTAATGAAGTTTGTATAATTGTTATGTGCAAGGTCCTGTAATAGATACAAAAAAGAAATCTGGACAAAATATATAGACATTTACATGATTTTTCAAATTTTGCCTTTTTTGACTTTTTATTTATTTTTTCCAACATAGCACTATATTTATTTTTGATATAACATTTTTAATTTGCTTTTGGAGAAGACTTTTGAAAGTTACTTGCAGACATGAGTTAGGTTTTTTATATACAACCTGCTTAGTCAATTGACTAAATGTCTTTTTCTGAACATGGTCTCTGCTCCTTTTTCTCAAGGGGTTTATAGTCAATGGGATAGACATATATATAAATAAATAGTTACAATACATTAAGCCAGGTACTGTAGGTACTGTACATATTGAAGATAAGTATTAAGTTCTGTGGAAACACACAAAGGCAGGATTGTCTAAACTTTCCTTGAACAAGGCAAAGAAAGTTCACATAGAAGAGTTGAGCTGTAAAGAATAATTAGGAATTGCTGAGTAGACCATGTTGTAATTCAGTTTTTGTAACATATCTTCCCATCTTTCTTGCTTTATGTTCCACAAAATCTGGTATATATGACTGTATATGATTATATACTATATGGTCAACTCACAGGTACAAAGATCCATGTCCTCAAAAAAAGTAGATGATGTATAGGCATTTGGCTTAGCAGTTCAGACACCACTTGGGATGCCTGCATCTCATATTGGAATGTTCATGTTCGAATTCTGACTCCTTTCCTGAATCCAGCTTCCTGCTAATACACATACTGGAAGGCAGCAAGTGATGGCCCAAGAGATTGAGTTCCTGCCACCCATGTAAGAGACTCAGATTGAGCTCCCAAATTTTGGTTTTGGCCTGGCTTTGGCCTGGCTCAGGCCCAACTGCTGGAGGCATTTGGGAAATGAAATAAAGAACCAGCAGAAGGCAGTGCACCCCCCTCTCTAATAGATAAAAAGAAATACAAAAATTTTTAAAAGTAAATTAACTTTAAAAAAAGAAATAAATATGAGGTGAGGTGTTACTTTGTGTGAGTAGAAGCCCTGGTATATAAATGTGCACGTATAATTTACACCATCTAGTGTACTTGAGTCAGAAAACAACCCGTGTGTGGGACAAACTACAGATACCTCCTGTCACTCCTACCTCTGCATCTTTTCTATTGATTTTATCCTGAACTTGAAGACAAAAATGGCTGATAATGGCCAATCCAGGAAGACAAAAGTGGTTGGAAATCAGGAATCTTCCATCTTCCACTGAGAACGTGATTCCCCAGATTTGCTGTTTTAGTTAAAGAAAATTTAGATAGGAATAGTCACAAAACAGGATAGATGGGTAAGCAAGAGAGAAAATGACTAAGGAAGTAAAATAGCAAAGAAGCCAATGAAGTGAACTGAGGGGTCTTATAGAATAGTATAGAAGTTAAGTCCTATATTGATTGATTAGAGGCCCTCAATATGCTTTGTTTATTTTTTTAAGAAACCATTTATTTAACAAGTACAAATTTCATAAGTAAGATCAAGTGTCTAGGAATAACAATGGATAGAATTAAAAAGGAGAGAATGTTTCAACATGAGAAGCAATTCACATAGCAGACTCATAGAATGGCAGTCACTCTAAAATAGCACTCTGACCTAAGAATCAGTATGCTTTAAAAATGAGTTCCTTTGGGTTACTGATTTAAAGAAAAGACAACTGAAAATCCTGCCTCTGCTTACCACTCTAATTTGTTGGATGTTGGAAAAGAAAGTACATGGTAGAAAACTTTCAGTATGTTGTAACACATATCAGAACTGAATAAATGAAGGCTTTCTTAAATAATTTTTGTTAACAAGGTATATGAAAGGGCTAGTCTCATTAAGGTTGAAGTAATAATAAGAGAAATGATCTTCACTTTTAGTAAAAGTCTTCATAAAGAGTTGGAACATACTTTAATAGGAACTTATCCTCATCGTGCCTATTGCTTGTTGTGTATTTTGAATGTGCTTTGAAAAAATAACAGAGTGATATAGCACCCAAGTAGATTAGTTTTCAGAGGTGTCCTGAAGCCACCTCTGAGCTAGCATTCCCCGGAGTAATGTGATTGGAGTTCTTTTGGACTGTGAAACAGAAAGCTTTTTGGAAAAGTGGAGAAGGTGTTCAGTGCTATGTTCTTCCAAAATATATTGCCTACCTGTATCACTGTTGATGGATCCTTCTAAGTGCTGGGTAGTATATAGCTGATCATCAGAATTTGGGAACATATAAATGGAAAACAAGCTACTTGAGAAATTTTCAAGCCCTAGTAAGAGAAATAGTGATGACTTAAGACTTAAGAAATTTGTGACTTTTTTCATAGAGAAAGGATTGAGTCATACTAACAATTTGCCTTTACATTTATTCTAAATTGAAAATCACTTTATTCCTCAGGGAAAATGTCCAGATAAACATTTCTATGAACTCTTGAAGATAAATCTTGCCTAGTTTAGAAAAAATAAAAATGATATTGTGGTGAAGCCTTTCTCGGCCATAGGATATACAAAGGGACTTCAGAAAGTTCATGGGAAAGTGGAATTAAAAGATAAGTTTATTTTGGTGTAAAAAATTGGAAATATATGCATAGTCTTTTCATAACATACATTTCTGTGGGCTTTTTGGTGACCTCTCATAAAACCCAGAGCCTCATGATTTTTGAGCTGACTTGCTTCTTTTCTCCAAGTAGACTGTCCTCCAATAAGATGTTCATCTTATTTTTACATAAACCTACAGAACATGGATTATTTTTTGTATCTGGATGGGATCACAAACTGTAGCTTTTGATTCCACTTTTAGCTGCAATCTACTCTTCTGTGTCCCTATAAAGTAAATGCCATGTAAATAGGAACCCAGGATAGAGTTACTTGTTCTCGAAAGGTCATGTACCAACTGCTGTTGCTGAGTAAGTGTTCTTGTATCTAGGGATGTTTATAACAGTCTTGTTTCCGTTTATTTCTGCAGAGTGTAGTGAAGCTGATGAGAGGACTGCTGCACTGCATGATCAGACAGGTATGACGCTGGGAACAGCTTCCTCTCTGATGAAAGCATAGCAGAGTAGTATCTACTCCTTGGCAAGTATTTATAGCTTATATTTTCTTCAGTTTCACAAGTAGTACGCACTCATTTTAGAATATTTAGAAAATTGAGAGGAAAAAAAAATGTCACCCATAATCTCATCACACAATTACCTCTAGAATGTTTTCCTTCCAGTCTGTTGTTTCCCATCTACAAATTCATCTACAAGTACTTCGTCATTACTGTACATGCAATTATGTTTATTGGGTAAAAGCTGATAGAAGTCTAAAAACCCTCATCTGAAAGCTGTGGAGCCACCAGATCAACTTTCAAATTAAGAATTTCTCGGCCGGCGCCGCGGCTCTCTAGGCTAATCCTCCACCTAGCGGCGCCTGCACACCAGGTTCTAGTCCCGGTTGGGGCGCTGGATTCTGTCCCAGTTGCCCCTCTTCCAGGCCAGCTCTCTGCTGTGGCCAGGGAGTGCAGTGGAGGATGGCCCAGGTGCTTGGGCCCTGCACCCCATGGGAGACCAGGAGAAGCACCTGGTTCCTGCCTTCGGATCAGCGCGGCCATTGGAGGGTGAACCAACGGCAAAAGGAAGACCTTTCTCTCTGTCTCTCTCTCTCACTATCCACTCTGCCTGTCAAAAAAAAAAAAAATTTCTCAGATTTAAAAAAGGAAGTATTGGGGTTCTTTAAAAGCTTCGTGGAAAGTGGACTAAACTGATAAGTTTATTTTGGTGCCTTACATTTTTGAAATCTATGTATACAAATGGTCTTGCAAAAGTTTGTGGAAGATGTATAATATGAAAAAACTATACATGGATTTCAAAATATTTTTGCACCAAATGAACTTGCCTTTGAATTCCTTCTTCCATGAATTCTTGAGGTTCCCTTATACAGTGGAAATACTGTACATTATCTTATGCCCTCAATGGGTCCAGGACAGCACTCCATAGTCAAGAACATTAATATCTCTGTAGGGAAACATGTAATTTCACACTAAGCGGAATATACAAAGACTATAGAAATGCCTATGTAAATTTGTTGCCACCAAATGAATTTTGGTGCAAAATATAGAGGAAAAAACCTTTTCAAAGTGTTTTAGATTTTAGAATTGGTGAGAAGTGACCTTGGACGTGTATCTTTTTTAGTGATTTGTATTTTCCTGACCTTGAGTGAACTTGAGCATTTTCTCATATGTAGGTTGAAAATTTGCATTTTCTGATTGGCAAACTGCTGCTAAGATCTTTGCTTATTTTCCTTTATGGATCCATCTTATTTTTGCCTATTTGAAAATTTGTGTACATTTCAGTTATGATTCCTTTGTCACATGCCTTGTAAATAGCAGTCTACCCTTTATTTTTAAGTTTATTTGTGATATCTTTTTATACAAAGTGCTTTATTTAAAAATTGTTTTATCCGCCGGCGCCGTGGCTCAATAGGCTAATCCTCCACCTTACGGCGCCGGCACACCGGGTTCTAGTCCCGGTTGGGGCGCCGGATTCTGTCCCGGTTGCCCCTCTTCCAGGCCAGCTCTCTGCTATGGCCAGGGAGTGCAGTGGAGGATGGCCCAGGTGCTTGGGCCCTGCACCCCATGGGAGACCAGGAAAAGCACCTGGCTCCTGGCTCCTGCCAGGATCAGCGCGGTGCGCCGGCTGCAGCGGCGGCCATTGGAGGGTGAACCAACGGCAAAGGAAGACCTTTCTCTCTCTGTCTCTCTCTCTCACTGTCCACTCTGCCTGTCAAAAAAAAAAAAAAAAAAAAAAAAAATTGTTTTATCCTAGGAGATTTTTTTTTCACATTCGAAACACAGAGACAGAGACAATGAGAGAGAGTCTTCCCATCTGCTGGTTCACTCTCCAAATGCCCACAATAGCCAGGGCTGCACCAGGCCAAAGCCAGGAGCCCAAAAATCCATCCAGATCTCCTGTGTGGAACCCATGTACTTGAGCCATCACCTGCTGCATCCCAGGGTGCAGATTAGCAGGAAGCAGAACAGCCAGGACTCCAGCCAGGCACTCTGTTATGAAATGCAGGCGTCCCAAGTGGTCACTTAACAGCTATGCCAAACATTCACTCCCTATCCTAGGAAATTTTAACGCACATTGCACACACTGAATCTGATGCGATTTTCTAGAGCTCAAGATTATGTTTTATTAGAAGAAGAAAGTGAGGCCCAGATGGATAAAGTGACTGCCCAGTGACACACAATAAGTCTGAAGGAGAAAGACATCAACTTTGGTCTTCTGAACTTTATCAGTGCTCTCTCTGCTGGGTTGTCTCACATCTATCCTTTCTCTTTTTTCCCTGCCTTTGCCACTTTATTTTTGTATTTTAGATATTTGCATTTTCTACCGTACCAGATTTAAAGGCATTAACTTCATAAACCAGATTTAAGAACTAATAATCTCATTTATCATATAATCAAGTCTGAGTTTCAGGGAATCAGTCTTTCAGTTGTCCTTCGCTGGTGTTTCCCTCCTGACCTCTGGTTTCAGCCTTTCTGTCACACCTTTCTCTGAATCTTTTCACACTCAGTTCTCTCTTACTAAGCTGCAGCACCTTGAATCTCAGTTTATAGTGTGGTAAAGCGGCATCTGAGGTATGCAAGAGAGGCAATTTAGGAAATAGCTGGTTTTGATTATTTGGCATTATTTTCTAATGAAATAGATTGAAAAACAACAGGGCAAAAGTGGTACCAATACATTTTAAATATTCACAATTGCCTGAAGATATAATGCAATAATATACATTAGAGTACTACAGAAGTGGAAGTGTGGCTTGATTTTTCTGTATATCCTTCTTTTAACTGTCTTTTCTTTCAGGTGGATAAAGTAGAATCCTTCAAGTATAGTCAGAGTACTAAGGATAGTCTCCATGCCAAGTACAACACCAAAACCTGTGCCACTGTAGTGGGTGATGATCAATGGGGACACCTGCAGTTGGATGCTACTTCTGTGTACTTGCTCTTCTTAGCACAAATGACTGCCTCTGGTAAGTACATAGAGAGAAGTACCCGGAGCGCCTGAGTGTGGAGTATTTGCTCTGGCGCACATGGCTTCTCCTAAGATATTGGCTAGAAAACAGCATAGCTGTTTATGTTGCCGAAAGAGGCACATTGGAAACATAACATCTTGCAAGGCTTATACAGAAAAACAACTCTTTGAAGCCTGCTTAATATTCTGTTAACACTGAGAAACAAGTCTGGAATACTAAATAATATTCTCTAAAATTGAGATCCAGGAAGTCTGGTGTGAATCTTCTTTAGACAGATATTTTTATTGTTTATTAATCCTCAGATTCTATAGGGGAAAGAAGCACTAGGGTTTGTTATTTATTTTCACTCTTTATGCTGACAAGCCTGCAGTTAGTAAAAATATAAATTGAATTACCTGCTTTATACTAATCTTTATGAATATATTATAAATAAGGCCTCTACATATCTCTATATTTAAATTATAGTAAGGGAATTAACTTAGGTGTCAGAATCAAAATGTTTGCTTTTTTATTGTTGAATATTATACGTTTCTCATGTGGTTTTGTTAATTAGCTGTAGATACTTTACCTGCAAAAAGGAAAATGTAAGACACAGCATAATTTCTGTTATTTCTCCTTAATTGGGGTGGGGACAATGAATGTGATTTTAGAGTATCACAGAACTGTGACGTATCGGGTGATTTTCTGCATATCCTTCTTTTAATAATGTATAGTTATAAATATTCCTGAGTAAGTTAATATGCTCTTCACAATACAACATTTTTCTTTATCTCCCTTTCTGATTATAGAGCTATCTGATACTAAGGGCATCCAGGCTGGGAATTCCCACAGAATATTATTCTTCTCATATTCTTAAAGAAATAAATATTTGGTGAAAAGCCCTTGCTCTTTTGCCCTTAGAAACACACAGCCCAGAGGCTGAATAATCTTTTCTTAAAATTATGAACTGCCTACCCACATACTCCCTATTTTGCCTGGAAAGTTTCTCTCCAGATAAATATATGTTTAGATTTTGTTTATTTTAAAAGCGGCATCTATCACTTTGTTTCTAATATTATTTTTTAAAAAAATTATTTATTTATTTGAAAGGCAGAGTTACAGAGAAATAGGGAGAGAGGGAGAGAGAGATCAATTTTCCATCTGCTGGTTCACTCCCCAAATGGCCGCAGCAGCCAGAGCTAGGCCGATTCGAAGCAAGGAGCCAGGAGCTTCTTCTGGGTCTCCCACATGGGTGCAGGGGCTCAAGGACTTGGGTCATCCTCCGCTGCTTTCCCAGGTGCATTAGCAGGGAGCTGGATGGGAAGTGGAGCAGCCGAGTATTGAACTGGTGCCCATACAGAATGCTTGGCACTGCAGGCCATGGCTTAACCGGCTGCACCACAGCACCAGCCCCCCTCTATTATTATTTTAAAACCAAACAGTATCTAAATATCCCTTGTTGTTTTTGCTTTTTGAAAATTTAAGAAAGGCGCTACCTGCTGCCTGGAGTGCTGACATCCCATATGGGCGCCAGTTCAAGTACCTGCTGCTCCACTTCTGATCCAGCTCTGTGCTATGGCCTGGGAAAGCAGTAGAAGATGGCCCAAGTCCTTGGGACCATGCACCCGCGCGGGAGACCAGAAGAAGCTCCTGGCTTTTGGCTCCAGACTGGCCCAGCTCCAGTCCTCCGGATTGGCCACTTGGGGAGTGAACTAGCGGATGGACCTCTTTCTCTCTGACTCCGACTCTGACTCTCTGTAACTCTACCTCTCAAATAAATAAATCTTAAAAAAATAAAATAATTTGTTTTATTTGAGAGGCAGAGTTATACAGAGAGACAGAGACAGAGATCTTCCATCTGTCTGCTCGTTCACCCTCTAAATTGCCACAATGGATGGAGCTGGGCCAGACTGAAACCAGGAGCCAGGAGCTTTTTCCGGGTTTTGCACATGAGTGCAGGGGCCCAAGCACTTTGGTCATTTTCTGCTGTTTTCCCATGTGCAGTTGCAGGGAGCCCAATCCGAGGTGGAGCAGCCAGTACTTGAATGAGCACCCATATGCGATGCCGACATTGCAGGCAGCAGCTTAATGTGCCACAGTGCCGGTCTCCAGTTTTCCCTTTTTTTAGCCCATTATGGATGCAGAAATATACCAAAGAGGCTTATAAAAGACTGAATCATTCATTCGAGAATTTAGCACTGTTTTCCACATTTTTGAATACTTAAAAAATAGACCTTTTTAAAAGAGTCTTACACAATAGCTGACTGCAACTTATAGAATGGTGACAAGAGGAGCTCCATGGACCCTCTCCCAACAAAACAACCATAAATGCTAAAAATGATTTTCAGAAAACCAACCACTAAGTCATTTGGAAATTATCCAAAGGACACACAGCAGATGGAGTAATACTTATTTGAGGATATTTACTAACTCTAGGTATGAGCAGTGAGAGAGGGTGGCATTTGGGTCTCAACCTACACCCTCCCCTATGCCAGCACACATAACAGAAATGTTATTCTAGGTGATTATAGCCTAGGGACATAATTCTTCCTCTGCTCCCAGATACCAAGAGATGTAGGCTGCCATCATTTTTCATCCTCTCCAGATCCATGTTGCAGAAGCCCTAGTCCAGACAAGATCAGTTCTGGAGCTTCATTCCTCCCTACCCCAGCCTCACGGGTGGAAAAGCAGCTTTATCTCAGGCAGGGCAAGATAACAGTATTCGGCCCTAGTTGTCCTTGACCCTCCTATCTCATAGGGTGGAGGTTTCGCACTGGGAGAGGCAAACTGAGATCAGAGGCTACCACCATTACTGAGTTGTCAGTTTGTAAAGTAGGAATGTTTCTCCACTGTTCTTGCCACCAGCTCTGGAGCACTGGCACAGAAATTTTCCTTCAGAGAGGCAGGCTGTAAGGATAAAAATCTCCATAACTCTTCCCAAGATAATTGACTTCATTTAGAATAGAATGTGGGGTATTTTGAGCCTAAGGAAAACTTTCAGAAAGCAAAAGAGAAAAATCTTAAAAAAGAAACAAACAAAAAACAAAAAAAAAGTAAGAAGAAAAAAAAAGAGATTTTGTTTCTAAGCAATTAATAGGAGGCCAGTGGTTCAGTAAGATCAAGAACCTAAACCAAAAACTAGCTAAGCATTTTAATAAAGAAAACCAAAGAAAGAGACAGCTAAAAAGAGTCCTCCTAGTGTTGGAACAAGTCTCAAAATGTTGTCCCAAAGATCATGTGAAAAGAAGCCTGAATTTGATTAGATTAAGGAGCGATTTATGCCTTAGGGTATTACACAAACAAATAGAGCTATAAGTTGGGAGTTAGTGGAGGCAAACAACTGAGTATGATACCAACACTGGCAGGAACTTAACAGATCAAGGAAAAGAGATAGTTGATGAGGACCTGCTAAAACATTGCCCTTCCAGGGTAGTGGTGTACCTCCTCAAAGCTGCACCTTCAGAACATCAGAGGCTACATACTGCAGGGAAAATAGACTTCACAGAAATAGTCCAGCCAAGTCACTAAATAAGTGATCAAGCCAAGAGAAGATGATATTGGTATCTAGAGTTCTTGAAACATATACCTAAAATATGTAGTTTTTACTAGATAATGCAGAGAGAAGGATAAGTAAGGATCGTACACAAGAAAAAAAGCAGGTAACACAAACTGCCTCTGAAAGGACCTATATGTTGACCTTAGGGAGATAGAGTCTTCAAAACAGTTGTTACAGGGGAGGGCTTTTGACCTAGTAGTTAAAATGCCCACATACCATATCAGAGTGCATAGGTTCGAGTCTAGCTCTGCTCCCAATTCCACCTTCCTGCTTATGAGCGCTCTGGGAGACAACAAGTGGTAGCTCAAGTAGTTGGATCCCTGCCATCGATGTAGGAGACCTGGATTGAGTTCCCATCTCCTGGCCCTGACCCCAGTCCAACCTCAGCTATGTAGGCATTAGGAGAGTGAACCAGTGGATGGGAGTTCTCTCTCTCTCTCTCTCTCTCTCTCTCTGTCAAATAAATAAATAAAAATAATTCATACAACAACTAGGTGGGAGGTCAGTATTGTGGCATAGCAGGTAAAGTCTCATATGGCCCATGCCTTATATGGGCCCTGGTTCATGTCCTGGCTGTTCCACTTCCCATCCAGCTCCCTCCTAATGAATGGCTGCTTCTAATGAAGCAGGAGAAGGTAGCCCAAGTGCTTAGGCCCCTGTCACCCACCTGAGAGACCCCAGTGGAGCTTCTGACTTTGGGATGGCTTAGCCCGGGCTGTTGCGGCCACTAGGGAAGTAAACCAGCAGATAAATCGATCAGTCTCTCTCTGTCTCTTGCTCTTGCTCTTACTCTCATTCTCTCTGTAACTGTGCCCTTCAAATAAACAAATAAATCTTTGGGAAAAAACGAACTAGGTAGAAGATCAATAGGAAATTGAAAACTTTGACTAGACTTAACACACATCTGTAGAACATTAGTCCAAGAACTCTCGAATACTTATTCTCCTAAAGTATACTTGGACCATTCTCCAGGATAGACAGTATGGTAGGCCATAATACATAATTCCTATTAAAAATCTCAGCAAGTTTCCTTGCAGAAATTGACAAACATCTTAAAATTCATATGAATATATGAGGGACCCAGAATAGCCAAAACGATCTTGAGTTGGAGGACTCACATTTACTACAAAGCTACAGTAACCAAAATAGTATGGTACTAGGATGAAAATAGATGTGTAGATTAATGGAATAGAATTGATAGTCCAGAAATAAACCATCACATTATGTTCAATTGATTTGTGACAAGGGTGTCAAGATAATTCAATGTGGAAAGATCAGTCTCTTCAACAACTGGTGCTGGAACAACTGGATAGCCATATGTAAAAGAATGAAATTGGACTTCTTCCTCCTGCCATAGATTAAAAATTAACTCAGAATAAATCATAGACCTAAATGTAAGAGGAAAACCTATAATACAGTATGTTAATCTCCCATGACAGAGTTACCACAGGATGGATGGCTT